ACTGCAGCCAGCATTAGAGTAGTCGGAAAAAAAAACTCTACAAATTGTGTCAAAAATACATAAGACTTTACTTTACAATATACAATATTGTTGTATATAATATAGAAGATTTTTTTTATATTTTATAATAATAATAATAATAATCTTAGGGCAATTCACGCAGTACCATCTAGTCTCAAGTTAAGCTAGCTACAGCTTGTGTTATGGGTATTAGATAACTGATACAAATACGTAGATAATATTTTTATGTGCTAACTGACCTGATTTGATGCTCATCTTATCATCCTCCACTGGTGCCCCTCCAGCGTAAACCGTTAGCGCAGACGGGAGCACCATTCCATTATCAACCACTAAAAAAATGTGTGCTTGTGTTATGGGTACTAGATAACTGATACATATACATGAGTTTTTTTTAGTAAATATTCGGTGGTCTAACGATTTAGCACACCGCTTTACGTCCGATGGTCGCGGGTTCGATTCCTCGCACGGCACAAACATTTGTATTCATGAGTACATCTTCCCATATAAATAATGATTGTTTGTATCGGTCTGGGTGTTTTCTATGTATATTATGTATGTATTTACGAAAAAAAAAATACTATGTACTTGTATCAGTTATCTAGTACCTGTAACACAAGCTTTAGCTAGCTTAACTCGGGTCTAGATGGCGCTGTGTGAATTGTCCTGAGATTATTATTATTATTATTATTATTATTATAACAAAACGTTTGATACAATAACATGGCGTATTAATAATCATTTTTTATTTTGTAAATTACTTAAAATTAAACACTAGTGGATGAAAGGAAGTGGTATTATTTTATTAGATCCGTTAAACACCTGGTTATATTTGAACTAGATGACCCGTGCAATTTCGTCTGCGTTTCATTTCCCCAACTTTTTCAATATTTTTCATTGCAGCTCCGCTCCTATTGGTCGTAGCGTAATGTTATATAGCTTAAAGCCTTCCTGGATAAATGGACTATCCAACAGAAAAATAAATTTTCAAATCGAAACATTAGTTCTTGAAATAAACAAACTCTTCAGCTTTATAGCTCCTGTGTCTGAGGCTAAAACATCATTTGCTCAACGTCACAAAAAATTTCTCTTTCCACACATATACAATCAAATTTGCAAACTAATTGATATTAAACACTCTCAGTTATCAGGTTTAAGAACACTCCTCAACAGTATACTGATGTCCTGGACATATGAGGACACTGAGAAAATACTAAAACCCGTAATATAAATTTAGACAATTCTGAAATATTCTAATGATTCTATATGAATTTACAATGCTTCCAAATACCATTCTTACTCACTCAAACACACACACACACACACACCTAACCGACTAACAAATACATATATGTAATTTTTATTATATATTACAATACATATATAATAAAAGTTACAAACATATACAAGTTTTATGTCAATACATAGTTACAATGTTACTTATGTTATATTTTATGAAAATAAAAATGTTATTCTTATAATATTAAGTATACATTTGACGTGGCAGGGAATTATATTACAGTAAATGTTACTGTACTACTGTAATGTAGTGTCAACCCTATACGGGTCTAGCCTGGCGCCACTGCCACGCGCCAGGGGAGTGAGACGACGGTACATTGCTGCATAATGCCGGCGTCAAATTGGAGCGAGCTCATTTGAACAGTGAATATTGTGATTTTCAAGTGACCTACATCACAAACTGCATCTCGGGTTCAATCTTTTCCCGTATAATTTTGGTAATTTTTATTACAATATGGGGTGTAATATTTTACAAATATATCTTTAAGTTTTATGTATAATTTCGTTATAAGTTATTCTGTAAGTAAAGCAAGTGGATCATGTTGTCGGATATAAATATTTTTTTAAGTGACTTTACAAAGTGGAGTTTATAATTGGTGTTTAGAAAAATGATTTTGATAGATAGATAGATAGATAATTGATTTATTGCCAACATAACACAAATAATACAATTTACAATAAGACAAAACAAGAAATAAATAATATTTAAGAATTAAGATTTTATAGTGTTAAAGGATTTTTCGACATCTTTATCTTTAAATAGTATAAAATGAAAGATAATAAATAGTATAAAATAAAAAAGACATGTTTGCTTAGATTTTTTTTAAATTACTTAATAGATTTTAGATATAGATAGATTCAAGACATAAACACACACGCATACATACACACACACTATATCTGCAATTTTCTTTTGTAATTTTGAAAGGTTCTAAGTTTTTTGTTTTTTCTTTGTGTGTGTTTTATTCTATAAGTTCGTTTTATATTTAGTTTATTGTAATTTTGAGTTTCGTGTGTTTAAACGTCTACATAATAAATACCATTTCATTGAATTTCATTAATTACATCTACCCATATAAATGAAATTGGAGTGTCTGTTTGTAATATTGATATAACCGCTTTTCATTACATGCATATGAATATAAATATGATACATACACCAAAATAACATTTTTTTTATTTTTGTCTGACTATCTGTTTGTTCCGCCTGATCTCTGAAATGGCTGGACCGATTTTGACGGGTCTTTTATTGACAGGTAGCTCATCAGCTACCTGCCAATAAAAGTCCCGTCAAAACAGTCCTTATTACATCTAATAGGCTACTTTTACTTTAGAAAAATAATGTCGCAAAATTCCACGCGTACAGCTAGTATGTGTATAAAATGAGTTCTTGTTACCATCATTCTCATTCTTCTCAATATACCGTATCAGCAGGCCAATGAGACTACAAATGGCATAACTAGTTGCAACATGTGTAGCTATTAAACCACGCGGGTGGCAGTAGACGGTACAAATTAACTGCTACGTGCCATTCTGTATGGTTTATTGTTTTATACATTTTCGACATACATTTGACGACCTCTTGTCTAGCGGCGGCACACCGCTTTACGACCGGTCGCGGATTCGATTCCTTGCACGAAACAAACATTTGTATTCATGGGTATGATTGTTTGTATCGGTCTGGGTGTTTACTACATGTGTCTATGTATTTGTATCAGTTATCTAGTACCCATAACACCAGCTTTAGCTAGCTTAACTTGAGTCTAGATGGCGCTGTGTGAATTGTCCTGAGATAATAAAAAATCTAGAACTCCGACGATAAGGGCGCGGCTCCTAAATTATGAATGAATGTTTATTATAGAAATAGATGAAATCTAAATCAGTCTGACCTATTTCTGAATGCAAGCAACTTGTTATAGTTGGATGGGTGTGATATGTTTGGAGTTAATGAATATACACATGTTAGGGTTCACATCAATATTGTAGAAAAATCCGATATTTTAAAAAGATATTTTTTTTTTTATACCACTTAGGTGGCAAACAAGCATACGGCCCATCTGATGGTAAACGGCTACCGTAGCCTATGGACGCCTGAAACACCAGGGGTGTCACATGCGCGTTGCCGACCCTTAAGAAACCTTAATATACCCTTCTTGAAAACCCATATGCTGTAGTCTCTCGAGAAAACCTCGGCAGGTAGTTCATTCCACAATCTAAGTGTACGCGGGAGGAAGCTCCTCTGAAACCGCACTGTACGAGACCACTTAGGTTCCAGCGTGTGGGGATGAATTCCCTGTCGATGGCGAGCGGTGCGATGGTAAAAGGTAGCCGTAGGCATCATGTCAAACAATTCATCAGAACACAGTCCATTGTATATTCGGTAGAACACACAAAGCGATGCGAAGTCTCGCCTCAAGCTAAGTGGCTCGATACCGTTAGAGAGATTGGGATCATCGACAATTTACAACGAAAATATTAAAGAAGGTAGTTTGTGTTTAGTACTAATGAAGTACCAATGTAAAGATTATTACAAATATTGTAAATAGCGCCATCTAGTGTTTATAGTCCGAACTAAGTTGTTTGTCATAGATAACCGTTATTCTGCTGCGGCATTCAGTCGACGAGCGCAGAGCGAGCCGGTCGTGTTTTGGATACTAAAGTGAATTGTATTTTTTTTTTAAATTAAATACAATTTTCCACAGACATATTCGTCCGTGCCTTTTATTAATTTACTTTAATATTATATTTCTTTAATTTACACTTTTGTACAACTCCAGAGGAGCCTCCAGCCGGTATGCTACACCGCTAGATCACCGAGGCTGTCAAAGAAGGAATTTTCCATTATTGATACGATGCTACTCCAACTTCTTTCTTGATCTGCTTGATATAACTGTGTCTTAGATTACCATACCCACAAAGACGAATTTGTTCCAAGAACCGATTTTTTTAGAGGATGATAATGGAATAGTGCCTTCGCGGGTGCAAATGATTTACGCTGGCGGGGCACCAGTGGAGGATGACAAAACCAACAAAAGATCTGTTCAGGTAGTCCATCGGGACAAATTTATCACGATGATTTCCAGGACGAACCGATGGAGGTCAACCTGACAAAAATGTCATCTGAAATGACGTCATCTCCCGGATTATCCGTATGACAACTGTTGACAAACCCAAGTAGCACGGTTCGAGTCCCGTCGTATTCATATGTCCGCTAGTGGTGGTTACTGTATCATTATAATGGAGGAGCCCTTATAGATTGGCAATTACCCGAAATTATACCCGGCATGATGGTCCGGGTAATTGTGTTGTGTTATTTGAACAATTATAAAGAGAATTTTGAAATAATAATAATAATAACCTGAGGACAATTCACACAGCGCCATCTAGACCCAAGTTAAGCTAGCTAAAGCTTGTGTTATGGGTACTAGACAACTGATACAAATAATATTTGTTTTTTTTCGTAAATACATACATATTATACATAGAAAACACCCAGACCCACACAAACAATCATACTCATGAATACAAATGTTTGTGCCGTGCGAGGAATCGGAACCCGCGACCATCGGTAGTAAGGCGCTGTGCTAGACCATCGAGGCCGTCGAAATGTAGCATGTAATTGTGCTGATCGAATGGGAAATGGAAGTATTTGGTAGTAGCCTAAAATTTAGCTTCCCTTGCAGGACGGGCGCCTGCGCAGCGGCGACATGCTGGTACGCATCGGCGCAGTGTCGGTGGTGGGGATGTGCGCGCGGCAGGCGGCCGCCGTGCTGCGGCAGTGCGGCGCGCGCGTGCGACTGCTGGTCGCAAGACCAGCGCCCTCCAACGCCATGCCGCCCTCCATTCAGGTAAATAGACTATAAGGACCTGGCCACAACCTGATTTCATCCTACCCTCCATATAGGTACTACCCTAGGGGCCATTCAAATATTACGTAAGCAGATTTATTACAATTATTTACCCCCCATCCCCTTTATCAGCAAAAGTAAGCAAAGCTCTTACCCCCTCCCCCCATGCTTACGTAAACATTTTTCAATTAATGTATTGTTTTTTAGCAAAGACGATGTGAGGGTTGACATTTGCGTAAAAAAGTAAATAATTACCGATGACGTAATCATCATCTAGACCCCCCCCCCCCCCATGTCATCCACAAATAAGCAAAGCAAAGACCCCCCCTCCCCCAAATAGTGCTTACGTAATACTTGAACGGCCCCCTATCACAGTCGTCAACAACCCGACTTCATCCTCTTTTCTCCACCTCGCTCGGTTCTCCATTTCTGTCAACACTCGACACCCTTCCATTTTTACGTCACCACATAACTTAGATATAAGTTCAGTGCAATGTCAGTCCACGTTATAACTCCCGCGTTGCTAAAATAAACCTCATCATAATCAGATCACTGCAGTCCACTGCTGGACATAAGCCTCTCCCAAGGCACAGCTCTGGGCACGATCTTCAGCCTTTCTCTTCCAGTTACTACCCGCAACCCTATGTATCGTCGCGCCTCCTAGCTGTGGGGCGTCCTACACTACGTTTGCCAATTCGCGGTCTCCACTCTAGAACACACCTACTCTACCGAATAACAGTTCTGCCACAGACATGACCAAATAAACCAATTAATGTTCAATGTACGATTCTCTATACATGTAAATAAAATTATAGTGTCTGTTTGTAATATTGAAATAACTGTTTTTTTACTACATGAATATAAATACAGTACATATACCTAAATAATATTTTTTACAATTTCTGCTGTTTGTTCCGACTAATCTCTGAAATGGCTGGACCGATTTTGACGGGACTTTTATTGGCAGGTAGCTGATGTAATTAGGAGTAACTTAGGCTACTTTTATTTTAGAAATAAAGTTAAATTCCACGCGGACGAAGTCAAGTGTACAGCTAGTAAACTATATATTATGTAGCGACACCTCATCACATCACATATATCGCTATCATGGTGAGGATAACCACCGCGCTATGATATATATATATAGTATATGTCAAATTTCATTACGTCATACCTATTTTGAAACTCGTGTTTGATACATATCATAACATAGTGTAAAACAAAGTCGCTGTCGCTGTCTGTCCGTCTCTATGTATGCTTAAATCTTTAAAACCACGCAACGGATTTTGGAGCTGTTTTTTTAATAGATAGAGTGATTCAAGAGGAAGGTTTATATATACCCCAGGTCTTGTGCTGAAAAACAGCGTTGCAGCGCTCCAGCCGCTACATACACATGTATGCACACACGTAAATTTGTAACAATAAATGGTAAACATACTTTTTTTTTGTAATTGTTGCAATGTTTTAGTGTTTTTTTTTGTTTGTTTAATGTGTGTTTTAGTTTTTTTAACATCTAACGAATAAATATCATTTCATTACATTTCATTTCATTTGACGACCTCGGTGGTCTAGCGGTTTAGCACACCGCTTTACGACCGATGGTCGCGGGTTTGATTCCTCGCACGGCACAAACATTTTTATTCATGAGTATGATTGTTTGTAACGGTCTGGGTGTTTTCTATGTATAATATGTATGTAATTACAAAACAATATATCTATGTATTTGTATCAGTTGTCTAGTACCCATAAAACAAACTTTAACTAGCTTAACTTGGGTCTAGATGGCGCTGTGTGAATTGTCAAAAAAATATATAATACATGTACACCCGTGCGAAGCCGGGCGAGTAGCTAGTTGAATTATTATTGTCAAAACTTTGGTAGTATCTTGTTAGTATTTATTTTATTTTTAGTTTCGTATTAGTATGGGCATGTAATATTATAGATATTATATCTTATCTGTGGTATAGGTAGTCTTGCTAATATTATAAACGCTTGTGGATTTTTTGGATGGAGGAAGTAACATCCTGTTTGTTAATCTTTAACGCAAACACTACAGAACCTATTGCAATAAACCTTAATAAAAAAATATATATGCAACTTAAATTTGAACAATTAGGATCCTATATAAGGGATCATCTTTGAAGTTCCAAATACAAAATAGTAATAATAATCTCAGGACAATTCACACAGCGCCATCTAGACCCAAGTTAAGATAGCTAAAGCTTGTGTTGTGGGTACTAGATAACTGATACATATACATAGATTTTTTTTTGAAATTACATACATATTATACATAGAAAACACCCAGACTGATACGAACAATCATACTCATGAATACAAATGTTTGTGCCGTGCTAGGAATCGAACCCGCGACCATCGGTCGTAAAGCGGTGTACTAGACCGCTAGAGCATCGAGGTCGTCGATATAATACCTACTAATATACAAAAAAACTCTAAATGTGTACATCAGTTGTCTAGTTCCCATAATTCAAGCTCTGCTTACCATGAGACTAGATGACGCTGTGTTAATTGACAAGGGTAAATTATAAAAAAAATTACTAAAACAACCGTTGCTATCGGAAATCGAACCAACGACCATTATAACGCAGTGTTACACCAATAATTTTCTTGCTCGTTCTTCTTGTGATGAGACAGCTTTCCGAACGAGCGGTAGATTAAAAAAAATTTAATGACTATTCAAAAGTGCTTCAATGTAAGTTTATTTGAATAAATGATTTTCTATTCTATTCTATTCTATTCTACACCGCTATACCACAAAGGTAACAAAATTCTTTAATCTATCTCTCGTGCTTTAAAAAGAGATGGATCAACGTAGCAAAACATCAACAGAACTTCAACCGGGTATCAGCAGGTAGAAGGATATCCGTGCCCCGGATATCAGTTGCGGCATACCTAAAGGGATTTCCCGAGGACTTGATGACGTCATTACCGTATCTTGAAATAAACATTAGAGTTCGGTTTCCTGATTCGAGAAAGGTCTGTATTATTACAAGCTGTGCTTGCGGTTTCACTCGTGAATTTTATAGTTTCTAGCTATTCACTATGACTATTCAAATGTGCTTAAATTAAGTTTATTAGAATAAATGACAACCTCAGTGGTCTAGCGGTCTAGGACACCGGTTTACGTCCGATGGTCGCGGGTTCGATTCCTCGCACGGCACAAACATTTGTATTCATGAGTATGATTGTTTGTATCGGTCTGGGTGTTTTCTCTGTATAATATGTATGTATTTACGAAAAAAAAATCTATGTATTTGTATCAGTTATCTAGTACCTATAACACAAGTTTTAGCTTAACTTGGGTCTAGATGGCGTTGTGTGAATTGTCCTGAGATTATTATTATTATTACGTATATAATACATATCACCCAGACGGATACAAACAGTCATACTCATGAACATAAAAGATTGCACCGTGCGAGGTATCGAACCTAGGTACCGACCAACAGAAGTACAGAGATGTGCTAAACCACTACCGAGGCCGTCAATGTATAAGATAATTAAATTACAAGATCACTTAGTATAAAAATCACAATTTAACTGCGCTTTTGTATGAATACTCGCATAAACACAGTTGAATTCAGATAAAGGTCCCGTTTTACCAACAAAACTAATCGGGTTTAGTTCGAACTAAACGAACGTTTAAACGAGTTTAAAGGTTAATTTTTCATTTCACCTTTGAAACTTAGATTTATCTAAACTCGTTTACAAATCCTTAACGCTCGATTTTCTAAGTTTAATTCTTAAACGAGTTTAGCAACTGTCGCTTGACAAATAGTCATCAATCATTTTTGACAATATAAAATCGGGAATAAAACCAAAATTTATTTAAAGTTTGTTCCGGCTAATCTCTGAAATGGCTGGACCTATTTTGACGGGACTGTTTTTGGCAGGTAGCTGATGTAATAAGGAGTACCTTAGGCTATTTTCGTTTAAAAAAAATCATTTATTTTAGAAAAATAAACTTAAATTCCACGCGGACGAATTTGCGGGAACAGCTAGTGTTTAATAATTTCACTACCTTGTTTATAGGTAAAGCTTGATGCTATATTTTTCGTAGTCAACAGTACTTATTAGATGAAAAACTAGAACATTTATCCTAATTATCACATGATTGAATTTCAAAGTTTCTTAAAATTATTTCCCTTGAAAATCTAAACTTGGTTTTGGTAAACACGACCAACATAGTGCTGGTGAATTCGATTTAAAATAAAACTAGATCAACGTCCATCGTTGAACGTAGTTTACGCTGAACTCAGTTTCCTTGAACTTAGTTTATACTGCGAATGGTGAGATCCGGCCTAAGACACTTTTTCATGTCGGGCGCAAATGGGTCGCACTGCGCAATCGACCGTTTCTAAATCTATCCAATTACCAAACACAGTCCCGATTTAGACAAAGTATCTTATTCTTAATTGTAATACTGTATTTTACTTTAATTGCACCCAATTTGGTTAAAAATGTGTAATTCTGGAAGAGCTCTCTGTACAATATCATCGTCATCTGCTTCTTCCTTATCCCATTTATTAGGGGTCCCAAAGAACGACGCTGGGGTGGTTCACCGTAGCAGAATGCCCTGGCAAGGAGCGCAAGCTCGGGGTTCGTACCCAGCGGTCCATTTAGGACCAGCGGACGACCCGAAATGGGAAATTAGGGGTCCTAATGACGTGATCGCCCGCGACCTCAAGGTCCCATCGGTGGAGCAGTTCGTCGTTCGGTTGACGGTAGCAGGCGTGAAGCGCGACCTCGCCCTCCTCCACGCGGACGCCACTCGTGCGCTCCCACGCAACTTACTCTCTACCGAGTGACCACGTCATTTACGTGACGTGGCGGCGTTAAGCTGGCTCGGCGAGTGACTTATTGACTCCAGCCACACGACGCCCACAGCCGGCTACCGGGAAGCAGCCGGCTTCCGTAAACGAACGACGCTGGGGTGGCACACCCCAGCAGTACGCCCGGGCAAAGAGCGTATGCTCGAGTCCCGCACCTGGCGGTCCGTAAGGGCCAGCGGAAGACCTAGTCCAGTCCAGGGGTCCTCCCCTTGGGGTTAGACCCGGGTAATGAGCATATGCTCGAGGCCCGTACCCGGCGGCCCAAATGCGCCCGCGGAAGAACCCCCTGCTGATTTTGGTCGGCGTAATGTTTTTCTCTTCCATTCATCCCTGTTCGCAGTCATCTCGTTATTTACTTTCTTACCATATCATCTTTCACACAGTCCATCAATTTTTTCCGCCTTCCTCTGCCCTTATAACTCTGCACTCTCACGCAAAAACTACTGAACGGATTTTGATGAAACTTTACAGTAATATAGCTTATGATGAATAACGCATAGGCTATTAAAATTCAAATTCAATTTCAAAAATCATTTATTCATGTAGGACATATTAGCCGCTTATGAACGTCAAGTTTTACATTATATATTTTTTTCCCTACCGTCCAATTCGGTATATAGATCCAATTGAGAAGAACTGGCAAGAAACTCAATTGAATTACTTTTTTTTTAAATCCAGTTTATTTACAATGCATTTATATAGGTGTCTATGTCTAACATTAAATGAAAATCCCGAACATGAAAACCATTGCCATGCACGCTCGTCATTCAAGTAATCGTTTAGTGAGTAATAGGCCTTGCTCAGTAAATATGATTTAACAGATGTTTTGAATTTATTTAAGGGTAATTCCAATATATCCTTTGGTATCTTATTGTAAATTTTTATACCTATTCCCATAAAAGACCTATTGACTTTTTCTAATATTATATATTGAATTTTAACGCGAGTGAAACCGCGGGCACTGTTAGTATACAATAAGTCTATTTGTCAACGTATCCACTTTTTTGTACGTAAACAAATCCTTGAATCCCACGGGAAGGACGCGTCGGTCGGGACATAACACTATATCAAGGTCATCACAGTTGGCACGTGTTTGTAAACATTATTATCAATTGACTAGTGGGGTAAGTAGAAAGGAAACCAGGTAAACACACAAGCAATAGTATGTTTTAATGTAATTGGAAAGGTAAAGGTAAATACCGATTTAATGGTAAGTAATAACCGTTGCCTATATTATTACATAAATACTTTTACTCCATTGATAATTTTTTTTAATGAATGACCGATTTTGTTTCTCAATTCAGAAATTATTCAAATTCAAAATATCTTTATTCATGACCTACATGACCTATTACAGACTCTTATGATATGTGACATCTATCAGTTCGGAGTCCTATGTCTTGTCAGTTACAAGAAACTCAACTCGTATTCTTTTCAAATAAATGTTGTACATGTTTATAATAATACAGATTCATTTAAATTCAAATTTGGGAGAATAGAGTGCCTACCAGCATATTATTATTTATATTATTTTATATTATTATTATCATCACATATTATGTGTATCTTTGGACTTTGTTATGATCTTACATATAGATTGTATAAGGAGGCTGAGGTCCTGAGACAAATTATTTGTAATGCGAGTTACTGTATACTTGCACGAAGAGTCTGCCAACATACACAGATATATTGAAGAAGAGATTGTCGCATGCCTAATCCTTGTTAATGTAAATCACATTAACAAGAATTAGGCAAGCGACAATCAACATAGAAACCGCTACGAACTTAACCTCTGTTCAAGCTGTCGTTTAAAGATTTTTCCATACGATAAAAATATGATAGGACCTTTCTCGTTTGTTAGGGCGGCCTATTTCGCCCTAGAGCGACAGCCCTAGTATTTCGCACTTGTACATCATGACGTATTAACATGATTAATGGCTTGTCACCGCTCAGACGATGTCTAACAAAGCTTTTTTATATGCAGTCTCATATAACGCCCTAACATGGCGCCCTAAATGAAAAGTCTTCGACGTCACTTGTCACTTACTTTAATTAGGTCTTTATAGATATACTAGCTTTTCCCCGCGGTTTCGCTCGCTTTAATTTATCCCCTTAGGGGTGGAATTTATCAAAATCATTTCTTAGGGGATGGCTACGGCATAGTAGATTTATGCATGCAAAGTCTCAGCCCGATCGGTTTAAAATTGACAAAGTTTCATACAAACTTTCATCCCCTATTTTATCCCCTTGGGGGTAGAATTAATCAAAATCCTTTCTTAGCAGATGCCTACGTCATAACATCTACCTGCATGCCAAATTTCAGCCCGATCCGTCCAGTGGTTTGGGCTGTGCGTTGATAGATCACTATGTCAGTCACCTTTGAGTATATATATATATATATAGATAGAATATACTTTGACATCGCAATATCAGTTATTCGTAGATTATGTTATAATCGTTATTTTTTGTATGGTTGCTGTTTTTTATTATAAACTAGGTAATATCCGTGAATTTGTCTGCCTGCAATTAAACTTTTTTAATGTAAAAAAAAAATCTAAATGAATGAAGATCATATCCTAAGGACAGTGTTACATATGAATGTGGGTGGTTATAAGGGTAGAGGAAGACCGAAAAAGAGATGGATGGACTGTGTGAAAGATGATATGGTGAGAATGACTGCGAACAGGGATGAATGGAAGAGAAAAAAATGATTACGACGACCACAAATAAATGGGATAAGAAAGAAGCAGATGAAAAATAAAATTTCGAAAATAAAGTAGTCTAAGTCTAATATTAGCTATCTGCGAGTGAAAGTCCCGTTTAAATAGGTCCAGTCGTGTCCCTGTCTCTCTGTTTATTCTTATATTAGAAAAGAGAGAAAATAAAATTTTATAATAATAATCAAATTCACACAATGCCATCTAGACCCAAGTTGAGCTAGCTAAAGTTTGTGTTATGGGTACTAGACTACTAATACAAATACATAAACTTTTTTAAATAATTAAATTAATAATTACATTCATATTATATATAGAAAACAAACACCCAGACTGATACAAACAATCATACTCATGAATAAACAAATGTTTGTACCGTGCGAGGAATCGAACCCGCGACCATCGGAAGTAAGGCGGTACGATAAACCGCTAGACCACCGAGGCCGTCAAAATTTTAGATATGTGAAGTAAGACAGTTTTAATTGATTGTTCAATCTGTTTGTCTGATCAGTCGCTGGGTGCATCACAAGCGCCAGTGGTGCCCTCGCGTCTACTTGCCGACCCCATCGAGCTGGAGCGAAGGTTGTCCGAAGCTGGTCATGATGGTTTTGGTGCCCTTTGTGAGGACAGTACGCCGCCTTCTCCACCACCCACCATTATCGAGGAGAGACTCCATCATAGAGTAAGATATATTTTATTTATAATTATTTATTACACCAATATTAAAAGCAGATACCTATATATATATAATAATAATCTGAGAACAATTCACACAGTGCCATCTAGACCAAGGTAAGCTAGCTAAAGCTTGTATTATGAGTACTAGACAACTGATACAAATACATAGATATATATATTTTTAATACATACATATTATACATAGAAAACACCCAGACCGATACAAACAATCATACTCATGAATACAAATATTTGTGCCGTGTTTTGTTAAACTACTGAAAGCAGAAGGTAATATGCGGTTAATTAACCGTTAATAACGAAAAATGCATGCTTCTTGGACTTGAAGCCTGAAGTTTTCTTGTTTTGAAAGGAGAGGCCTGGGACATACAGCCTTATGTTTTGTTGTTTGCTCGTACAGCCAGTGGCTTCGATCGTCGCGGTGGTACCGCGGGGGGCGCTGGCTCCTTCTCCACGTCCTCCGCCGCTGATTATAGCTCCGGTGGATCCCCAGCCGCAACCAATGAGGTAAGAAGACAGAATCTCAACCATATGTACCTACACTTGTAACATTTCTGACATCATTCGGCACATTAGATTACCTGATAATATGATATGAGTAAAGTGTGGTGTGACGAGGATAGACAAGATAAAGAATGAATACATCAGAGGAAGTATGACAGTAGCACCGATGTCAGAGAAGTTAAAGAGTAATCGTCTATCGTGGTATGGGCATGTAATGCGTAGGAATGAAGATCATATCCTAAGGACGGTGTTACATATGAATGTGGATGGTTATAAGGGTAGAGGAAGGCCAAAAAAGAGATGGATGGACTGTGTGAAAGATATGGTGAGAAAGGGAGTAAATAACGCGATGACTGCGAACAGGGATGAATGGAAGCGAAAAACATATTACGCCGACCCCAAATAAATGGGATAAGGAAGAAGCAGATGATGATGATGATGATGATGATATGAGTAAAGTGTAAAGTCAGTTTACGTCCGGACCCCACGTCGAATACACACGGTACTAATAAGCCATCTAGCACTATACAATAAACTTACTAATCTTATATATAAAATTCTCGTGTCACAGTTTTCGTTCCCATACTCCTCCGAAACGGCTTGACCGATTCTCATGAAATCATCATCAATCATGAAATTTTCTGAGCGTCTTGAAAACGTCTGAGAATCGGCCAACATCTATTTTTCATCCCCCTAAATGTTAGGGGCAGTCCACACCTAAATTATTTTTTTATTTTAAGACAAAAAAACTTTTGCCGGGACAGCTAGTGTATTATACATATACACCGCTTCAAAATCCGTTGCGTAGTTTTAAAGATTTAAGCATACATAGGGACGGACAGACAGCGATAGCGACTTTGTTTTATACTATGTAATGACTAGCATTAGATTTAGCAAGTAGAATAAATACATTAAGAAAAAGAAATAAATAGAAAATTAATATCAAAAGGCGATCTTATCACTGTAAGCAATTTCTAACAGACAACCTGCAAACAACGAATGAGACTAACGTACATAGAAGAGGTAGATGGCACTATAAGATAAAAAATTATGACCAGGTTACCATTGGACATGGCAGTGAGAGGAACTGGTGAACCGGAGACGTTGAGCTATGAAGTGGAACTCAGTAAGGACTCAGCTCTTGGATTGGGAATCACTGTCGCCGGATATGTTTGTGAACAAGGTACGTCTTCTTTACATATATTTGTAGAATGTAGCTTTTTGTATAATCTATGGCTAAGATATATCTATAGTATAGACACCCCAATTTTATTTATATGTGTAGAATCTATACATATAAATAAAATTGGGATGTCTGTTTGTAATATTGAAATAACCGTTTTTACTACATGCATATGAATATAAATACTGTATATACACCAAAATCACAGTTTGTTCCGGCTAATCTCTGGAATGGTTCGACCGATTTCGACGAGACTTTTATTGGCAGGTAGCTGATGTAATAAGGAGTAACTTAGGCTACTTTTATTTTAGAAAAAATATTTTATTTTTGGCCGAAAGGAGTGGTTCATCGGCGCTACCGTGGCAGATTACCGTCGTCAGTGCCGCGACTATACAAACAATTTTATTTACATATTTTATTAATATTTCTTACGTATGTTAGACTATAAGGTATTTATAATATGGGCCATCATCATCATCTGCTTCTTTCTTATCCCATTTATTTGGGGTCGGCGTAATATGTTTTTCGCTTCCATTCATCCCTGTTCGCAGTCATCGCGTTATTTACTTCCTTTCTTACCATATCATCTTTCACACAGTCCCTCCATCTCTTTTTCGGATTTCTTTCTCTTTTTCGGATTGATGTAATTGTATATTTTAATTTCATATTGTACGTCCGAAATGGATAAACTGGTCGTTTCCATATATGATGTAACACAGTTATAGACAATAAATGCTTATCTTATCTTATCTTATCGGCCTTCCTCTGCCCTTATAACCATCCACATTCGTTTGTAACATCTTTCTTAAAATATTATCCTCGTTCCTACGCATTACATGTCCATACCATGATAGACGATTACTCTTCAACCTCTCTGACACCGGTGCCACTTTCATAATATGGGCCACGTAGCCTGAATTTAATAAATAAATAAATAAAATAAAACCGAACGAAGTCGCAGGTACAACCAGTATTAATACAAACATGTTTAATTAGTAAATTAAAGAGCATTTCCAATATAGACTTCAATGTTTTCAACAAAATGAAATCCCTTCTACAAATACGATGTACAGAGAAGCATTGGAGCGTATACACGTACATTGAGTCAGTTTGGCTTTATCTGATATCTTTCTATGAGAAGCCGAGATGAAATCACACGTCTACGATATAAGCATGTATGACCCTACGAGGATCGTACAATTACGAGATTTTACCGTTTGTTACGAGTGTATTTTCATTACTATGTACCTACGAATCGGTTAATAATAATCTTATATATAAAATTCTCGTGTCACAGTTTTTGTTCCCATACTCCTCCGAAACGGCTTGACCGATTCTCATGAAATTTTGTGAGCGTATCGAGTAGGTCTGAGAATCGGCCAGCATCTATTTTTCATCCGCCTAAATGTTAGGGGTAGTCCACCCCTAATTTTTTTTTATTTTAAGGCAAAACAACGTTTGCCGTGTCAGCTAGTTATAATATAAAATGACATAATATCAGTCATATAAATGAAAAGGCATACAATAAGTACACACACTCACACACACCCACACACATACTACGCTTACTTAACTGTAAAAGTCACTACAAAGTCTAATAAAGGTTAATGGATTACTAAAATCATGAAAAAATTTTGTCTTAACAAAAGGAATCACTTACAAATGAGCAAATAGGAAAGAAGTAAACTTAAAAATTTACCATTCTTCATATGCAAAAACATAGACAAAATCATAAGACACTAGCTTTTGCCTGCGGCTTCGTTCGCGTCAATTTATCCCCTTAGGGGTGGAATTTATTAGAATCCTTTCTTAGGGGATGCCTACGTTATAGTACTTTATGTATGCAAAGTCTCAGCCAGATCGGTTTAAAATTAACAAAGTTTCATCCCCTATTTTATCCACTGGGGGGTGGAATTACTCAAAATCCTTTCTTAGTATAAATATCATAGTGTGGATTCCAAGCTACGCAGTACTCAAGGTGTGACCGAACATACGCGTTATATAGACAAATTTTTGTCTGTGAGTTTTTAAACTCCTTACTATTGCGAAGCAAAAAACCAAGCATTTTATTAGACTTATTACCAATATTACGAGGTTAAGTGTTTCAAGATTGGATTTAAGCGATGTAGGATTATGATCATCTCCTTACGTTATAAGCAGAGTACTGTTTTAGTGTTTCGAATCAAAATGACGTAAGTGCAAAGGATGATACCGAAATTTATGATTTAAAACATAATGATTAAAGTCTTTATTCGCAATTTACAGCAATTGTTTTATTTGTTAAACCCATATTGACGGTCTCGATGGTGTAGCGGTTTAGCACATCGCTTTATTTTTGATGGTCGCGGGTTCGATTCCTCGCACGGTGCAGTTTGTATTCATGAGTATGGTTGTTTGTGTCGGTTTGTGTTTTCTATTATTATGGGGTTTTTTAAGAAGGGTTTCTTAAGGGTCGGTAACGCGCACGTGATACCCCTGGTGTTTCAGGCGTTCATAGGCTACGGTAACCATTTACCATCAGGTGGGTCGTATGCTTAATTGCCACTATCGTAGTATAAAAAAGTATGTATTTACAAAAAAATCTAATTATTAATAAGGTGTCTACCCATAACACAAGATCTGCTTACTGTGGGACTAGATGGCGCTGTGTTAATAGTCCAGGGTTATTTATTTATTTACATTTAATATATTATTTTAGAGAGAGATTGAAATTTGCAAACATTTGTATTCATGAGTATAACTGTTTGTATCTGTCTGGGTGTTTTCTATATATCTTATGTATGTATTTACAAAAAATATTAAAGTATTTATATCAGATATCTAGTACCCATAACACAAGCTCTGCTTACCGTGGGACTAGATGGCGCTGTGTTAATTGTCCAGGGTTAAATCGATTAAGCCGTTTGGGAGGAGTATAGTAACTAACATTGTAACACGAGAATTTTATATATAAGATATATATATATATATATATATTAATATAGTATGAATAAAGTCTACCAAACGCTGCGAAACAAATAGTTGGACCGATTTTGACGGTACTTTGATTGGCAGGTAGCTAATGTAATGAGGAACTTAGCCCACTTTTATTTAAAAAAAATAAAGTTAATTTCCACGCGGACGATATCGCGGGAACAGCTAGTCTATACATATAAATAAAATTGGAGTGTGTATAAAGTCGAGGTTCTGGAGATCAGGAGCGTTGTACTTATTGAATGAAATACAGTTATGAGGTTACAACCGTGTATATTGATCTAAGTGCCTAAATAAAAAATTACATATCTATATAAGGAATAACAAAAATATCTTATTAGTGTGTTTTAGAAATATGTATGCAAAAATACAGCGCCATCTAGTTGTACTAGTATAAAACTATTTTGACTCGAACAGAGTGTCTGTTTGTAATACTGAAATAACAGTTTTTTATTACATGCATGGCAGACGGGTGTAACAATCCATTATCATCTCTTAAAAAGGTCCATCGCGGGGCCCTGGGCACGTGCTGTTATGGTGAGTGAGTGTTATGAGTATGGGTCTAAGGATAGTTTTTAAAAAAACAATTATTTATATTTTAAGAAGGAAAGCGGGTCTTGAATGAAGATTAGTATCAGACTGATCATTTTAATCCTTGTAAGTAACTTTGACGTAGTCTAGTGTTTTGAGTAGTCATGCTCACTAAAATGTCCAGACTTGTGGCGGCGTGGTGGGCCGGGTCATTGGGCTCCCTAAAATATGGTCGAGCACAGTGATGGCTGGCTCATCCGTCATATCTCGTGAACGGGTGCTGCTTGTAGGGACTGGTCTGCTCTAATCACTATGACTGATTTCCTCTTATTAATTGTTTAACCAGTTGGTTATATATTCAATATTTTTTCTATTTGAGTATTTAATAGAATTAGTGCTAATTGGTGGTTTGTATTCACACACTTGAACTTAAAAATGTAAAGTAATAATAAAATTATTTAAAAGAGTAACACGCAAGTTTCTTGCTCGTTCTTCTTGTGATGAGACAGCTTTCAGAACGAGCGGTAGATTAAAAAATGTAATGACTATTCAAAAGTGCTTCAATGTAAGTTTATTTGAATAAATGATTTCTATTCTATTCTATTCTTGTCTCTTAGCCGAAAACCGCGAGTATTACGAAAGGAATGTATCAAAAGGGTATTGTTTTATTAATACAATATATTGATGTGGAAAGCTAAAATGGCTCTTTCAGAACCATTGTATGTGCAGTGATTGTGAAACTACCAGTGCGTCCACTGGGGAAGAGGGACCTGAGGATATAGTAGGAATCTTCTAGAACATGTACAAAGTTTTAATACGTTGAATCAGTTAAACTAATATAATTTGTTTTCTTAAATCAATCATTGCCTGTAAGGTGTTTGTTCCTGCTAATGTAACGATTGCGTCATCTGTACATATAAATAAAATTGGAGTGTCTGTTTGTATTATTGAAATAACCGTTTTTTACTACATGCACATGAATATACTTACACACACTGAAAAAAACATTTTTTACAATTTTATCTCTGGACCGATTTTGATGGGACTTGTTTTGCAGGTAGCGGATGTAATAAGGAGTAACTTAGGCTACTTTTATTTTTAAGAAATATAGTTAAATTCCACGCGAACGAAGTCGCGGGAGCAGCTAGTCTATACATATAAATAAAATTGGAGTGTCTGTTTGTAATATTGAAATAACATTTTTTTACTATTTGCGCATGAATACAAATACGGTACATATACCAAAATAACATTTTTTACAATTGTCTGTCTATCTGTTTGTTCCGAATAATCTCTGAAATGGCTGGACCGATTTGGACGGGACTTATTTTGTTGTAATAAGGAGTAACTTAGTCTACTTTTATTTTAGAAAATGTCTCTTATTTAAGTTAAATTCCACACGGACGAAGTCGCGAGTACAGCTAGTATGGAATATAAACATTTATTTGTTTTCATTTGTCTACGAATGATTGATGCGATGTTAGACTGACGTAACA